CAAAATGTTTACACAATCATTATCATTTTGACAATATCTTTTTTATCCCAAAGGAAGTCAGTGATGAACAAATTCAAGCAGTGTGTGAGACGTGCATATTTAGCATCTGTTACGCATTCTCTTGGCAGCATTGTTTTGTATCAGAAAATCAGGGCCAAGGGTTCAACCACTAACTTACAAGCAGTTGTGTTGAATCAAACATTATTGCCTATTGTGTTGCTTTAAAGTATATTAGTGAACTTCATTATGTTTTTTCCTGATTATTTGATTTTGGTTTATAATCAGGAAACTCCTGGGTCTGAGCAAGAGTGTTACATTCAGAGTGGTAGTATTTGGGAGTTTCGTGCCTTTCCTTTGGTTCTTTCATACCACTCCTTTGAACAGTTTTGAAATACCATGCGCTCATTTTTTAAAAAGTCATACAAAGCTTTGTTAGTCATAGGCTAGTTACAGATACAGCATTTTCCTGTGAGTGCATAACTTCAGACTCCTGGGGCAGATCCAGGTAAATATCTGATGATAGAAATTAATGGTTGGCTTCTGGTGCGTCATAGCACAGGATGCATATGTGCAATTGCATCTTGTAGTAGCCTTATCTCTTTAATCAGCTTTCTTTTTTCTACTAGTATATTTTCAGATGATAAAATAACGCCAATTCCTCTATTTCAGGCTACTTGTGAGATTGCACTGATTAGTCAAATTTGGGTGCTAAATTGATTTTATTAAATTCTTATTCAGGGAATCATCACGTGAATTAAACCTGTCCTGTATTGACTTCCCTTAAGTTGAGAAGGACTTGATTTATACTAAATCAATATAAATCAAATTTAAAATTATTTAAATGGAAGCACATAAGAGTTTGCACCAGTATAATGAAATAAATTGTAAAACACAGTTTAGACAAGTTCAATATCATGTAATTTAGGCTTCTGGCTGCATTTTTTTAAAGATTTCAATGCTGATGGCAGTAGAACAAGAATGTCTTTACAAAAAACCCTTCCACATGAAATCTTCTTAAAAGATACGTATTTTTTTAAGAGTTTTCACTCCAAATTTTCATACAGCAAATGCTAGAATTTCTATTGGAAAATTTCTACACCATTTTAGAAATATCAAAAGAAAGAAGTGACATAGCATCATTTTGAAAAATTTTGAAATTAAATAAATGTTTTTGTTAACTGTCAACTGCAAATGCTGTTTTGTATCATCACTGAAAAATATAATTCAGTAAAATTTGTGAATTCTTCATCTCTGCCCCTTTAATTACAAAAATCTGGGAAAGGAAATTGAGAATGAACCAAAAAATTATCACTTTAGTTGGAAGGCTTTAAATTGGATTTGATTTCAGGAGCTTTGCTACCAACTAAATATGCTGATATACTGGTTTTAACAAAACTTCTGTCTCAGTGCAGCTGGGGCACTAGCCCAGGAGGAGGGAGTCTCTTGTTTATTTTCTGCTTGTCATCAGATTCAAAGCAGAAGATTTTTTTGCACCAAATCATTCTGAATGAGATGGAAGGATATTTGAAGTTTGTCTTGCACAGTCCATGTATTGAAGGAGAAATCTTGGTACATCTTCACACCTTCATGAATTAAAAAGCATAACATTTCAATCAGGGGGGAAAAAAATGTTTTCATCAAAGCGTTTGAAAAGTTTGACTCTAGAAATAAGGAATAAAAGTATGTTCTGAAATGAGGGAAGTTGCTGTGAAATGAAGTTCATCCTTGTTGCAGTATTCTGGCCCACAAATCCTGTTTAGCTCTGGAGTTTTCTTCAGTAGTTCAGGTTGCGCTTATTCAACACCAATTGCTTGATGTACTGGGTTACTACTGCCATTTTCATTCTTATTACCATTTTACCCCCTTCCTTCCCCAAGCAGTTGGACGTCTTTTGCTCTGAAGTTTATGACTATACATGAGAAAACTGGAAATTACTATCCACATTGTGTAATCCTAATCTTTTCTTCAGGGGCAGGCATTGCTTAGAGAAGGAATCTCTTGTATTGAACAACAATAAAAAACAACAATTGGCTTGTAATGATGGTACTTGGCACAGTTACAGCTCATTGCAAGCTTAACTGATAGTGGGTCCTCTCTCAGTGTGAGATTTAATTTTCTTTTGGGTAGCTAGCTGTGCCTGGTGTCACTACATATAAACCATCTTGTCAGCCGTTGGTTGCACACTGAGATAGGTAAGTGCCCCGTGGGAAGGAAGAAGAAAACCACTTCTTAGCATCCTATCAACCATAGGACTCTGTGCAGTGCTGTCATCATGTCAAGGTTGAGCTCATATATTATGGATATTGGGCTACAGAATGTTTTATAATTTGAAGCAAAGAAGCTGAGGTACACAGGGAGAGTGGGAGAGGCAGTGCTAAGCACGGTCATATTAATGAGCCATCAAAATTACATGGGATTAGTCAAAACACCTATGACACAACCTAGCCCATAAAATAGCTGCAAGCAAACCAGCATCTGTCTGCTTTCCATATTTTTTTTTTCAGTGATTAACTACAGTACTGTGATTTCAATGAAATTTAATGAAGCACAAAAAAATTATGTAACTGTAGGTCAAAGCTGAAGCTGCTTGAAGAAGCTTTTTCTTATAAAAATTATATAATGATATATTTAGTGTGTGACAGCGTAAACCTGTTACAAGCTTGGAATAAAACAAGAAAAAAAAACCAAAGGAGTAGCCAGAAGAATAGCTAGGGCAAATGCTCAAATTGTAATCCTTGGATGCTCAGCATCTCTCAGGATCATGTACTGTGACACTACTTGAAAAGTCAAAAATCACATACACATCTTTTTCAAGGAATCATAAGCTGATGGATCAATTACCTTCATTGGTCCAAAGTTTTCAAACTTGCCATTTGGAATAAAAGCTCAACTTGAAGCCGGCCCATAAATAAAACTCGTAAAAGCTATACATTCTCAGTTCGCAGGAGAGCTTTGAATTTCTGGGTGTTGTTAACTAGCCTTATCTGCTCCTAAAATTCTGCTTCTGGAAACAACCCTAAAGGACTCCAGATATTTCAGAAAATGCAATAGCTTGATCAACAATGTGTGTTGTTTATATTAACAAATAGTAGATAAAACTTTATAACATTTTTCATGTAGTAATAGAAGCACCTACAAATAGATATAGATAGATATAGATATATATAGATATATACATATATTTTTTTACTTTTTTGAGCTACCTAGAAGAGCATTTTCTCCTTTTTTGAGAGAGTCCTTCTCCACAGAAACATCTAAAACCAGTCACTAGGTACTTCATAGACTTCTAGCATTCAGTTCTTTCCAGGTCAGATTTTAACCTTGTCTTGGAAGCCAAAGAAAAATATCTTCCACTCGCTCTGCCACTGCTAGCGTATGTGGAAACTGCAGGAATGCTCCTTTAGCTGATGAACTTGCAGTACATAAACATACCCAGGTAATCTGTGCGCAATTCAATGAAACTACCAGCTGGCAACCAAATAGAAGTAAGAACTTAACCGGTAATAAAAGGAAGATTACCACATACCGTCTTTGATCAAAGATTACTGTGGGCGTTATAGAACAGTCAAAAGTATAATAATGTAAGTGGGGGGTCAGAAGCAAAGATTTCCGATAGAGACAATTGATCAGGCTTCTGATACTGCAGGGCATGATAAGTAACAAAGCTGATTTATTTGTTGGCTCAGGACATTCATGAGAGTGTGCTAGGAAGGAGCAGCTAGTCAGAGGAAGAGGTTGTCTGATTATCTTGCCCTGGTGCACCAGAGCAGGTAGAAATCTCTGGGGAGTAAGAGATGCTGTTCAGGGCAACTGAGCATGTTCAGGTGAAAAAATCTGAAATTCAGGCAAGGAAGGAGCTTGTAGCAGAGTTGCAGACTGGGAGATTTCTAAAAGAAGTAGGGGGTCTGCAGGAGTTGAGGAGCAAACACAAGGGCAGGCTTCAGAAATGATGGTAAGAATAAGAGTTCCCTGACAACTCAGGTGAAACCGTTTTGAGGGTGTTCAAGTTGAGAAGCCATTAAAAGTAATTGGCTAAAAGAGAGCTCAAGAAGGTCTGCCATTTTATTAGAAGAGTTCTCTTCTGAGATGAGATTTCTGTCTCCCCATAAAAGGCATGTTTAGAGACTGGAAGCTTTTGGTGTCTTTGGCATGTTTACAAAGGGAACAGTCCTGCTTCAGAAATAGCATTACTGTTTCTATAATTTCAGAAAGAATATTGTGTGCTCTAGGTACTCTGTATACATAGCAGGCAAGTTCAGCATTTTCACAGAAGATCTAACAACTTCATTAAGAAGTCATAAAGATCCATTTTCACATTTGATGCAATTTAATTCAGAACCACAGTTACTTCAGAACTTTTCTTAACATTTTCATTTCAATGGATGGTTCTTGACCAACCTCCTAGTTGGTGGCTATTAAGACTAATTCTTCTATTGTGTTATTCTGTGATACATATTCTAAATTAAGTAATCCCAAATAGAATATTCTGCAAGAGAAAAACTAGAAGGAAAAACAAGGCAATTTTTCTCTTGTTTGAAAAGTTTTCACCAAAATAAATGTTTAGTCATATAAAAAAAAAAAAAAAAGAGAGAGAGAGATAAAACACGAATTTGAATCAGATTGATAAATGCTCCCTTTGAAAGAAAGCTGAAAATAAATTTCAAAACTTGTTTTAGAAGTGTTTCACATTTTTATAATTTGGTAAAAAAAACACAGACTAAGCAAAGCTTTAGTTGACCAGAGAGAACTTTATGTTTTTTTCCATAAGAAAACAGAAAAGCTTTGCTTCAACTGATCTGAAATGGTCATCTTTTTTAATGGTGGGGTGGACAGATATTTACACAATTCAGTCTGTCAGTTGCATTGCCAAAGATCACAAGTTCTGACAATTTCTGAGTCAACTTGAGTCTTCTATTGTAAGTCAAAACATCTTGCTAACCTTTTTTTTTTTTTTTTTTTTTCCCTCTCTTGCTTTTTCGTCTTGTTAAACAATTTTTACTGATAATAAATTAGGTCAGTGTCAATGCAGCTTCTGGTATGTGCAGACACAGCTGAAGGTTGGTACTTTCATGAATAAGAAAGAGGTTTGAAGGTAAGACAGTAATAGACAGTTGGGGCCTATTCTTGAAGATAACAGGCACAAGGAGTGGACAAATTAAAACAAACCAGCTCAAGACACAACACAGTTGCACACCACCTCCTAACAGACCTTTGTGAGCATGCGTGAGCACTGAGGGCAACCAGTAGACATTGTGAGAAAGACCACCAGGGACCCCTCGAGACCACCATCCAGCAAGAAAGGGCGCGTGTAATTAAGATGAAGATATTGTAATTGGTTCCAGGAAGTCTAACGCATATGTAACTCACTTCTTGGAAAAGTTATTAATATGCATAATCTCACGGTATATTAGCTGCCTCTTTTGTACATCTGGGGCATGCTCACCTTGCGAAGCTATTAACATGTGCGCCCAGTGCTGCAAGAAGGAATACCTGCTTTCTAAAACTCCAAAATGAGTCTTAGAGTGTTCCTCTGCCGGCTTTTACAGTAACACTATCAATTTTGTAGTAAATACATATTGACAGTGAGCACACTTGAATAACAGTGGTAATTGGGAGTTTTGTGAATACGTAACAACATTATTTAATTTGAAATATGTTTTCTATATTGGTATACAGATTGGCTTTTCATAGCAGAGAGGGAAAAAAAAAGTCTGCTTAAGCTCCTAAGCCTGAACTGAAAAGATAGCACTGGCAAGAATAAATTGGAGTGTTATATCGTGGGTCTTAAAACTCCAGAGTAATCATGTAGTAGGACCAACTCATAAATTCAGTGTTGAATGCTGAATCCACACACCCCATACGTTTCAAGGTGCAGAGCTTTCTGCAACACTTCACAACTGACTTAAGACTATTAATATGAAATACTGCAAGTGAAGCGGTATTTTCCCTCTGGGGAAAAAAGAGAGTTTTAATACTTTGTTTCTAGTAGATCCATTTCGATTCAATCTTCTTTGAACTAAATCTTTTGCATTTGGGAAAAATCTTTTACAAAAATCCATTTCACATTACTTTGTGTAAGTGTCATATTAAACCATCGGTACTTCTTTCTAGAACAGTTTTTCTACAAATCAGTTCTCTTTAAAAAGATTTTTTAAACATTGAAATTTAATTATTTTTAAAAGAAAACTTAGTAAAAATACTTTGCAAGGATGAAATATTCCCTTTATATACATCCTACCATATGATTCACAGCAGTGGAATTACCCAGGTATAAATTAGGGCAAAATTAAGTCCTTGGAGAGCAGGTAGACTTAGGCCTAACTTTAGAAATGATAGATGTATTCAACCAGCAATAGCTATAATGCATCTGAAATGTGTTTTACTCACATAAAGTATTTAATTTAAATTATTCTAGTACTTGTGATAGACAGAAGCAGGGAGGATGGCCTCAAATATTAACAGTTCCATTATTCTTTAAACTGCCAATCATTAGCTAACTTCTCCCTTGTTAATGATAATGGTTGCATGATTCTGTTCTGAATTTAAGATTTTCACCACCAGCAGGCAGGCCAGTGGGCAATTTTAATTCAAAAAGCAGGTTAGTAGAACTATATTTAAGGAACAATAAACACAGTTCAAATGGAGCTTGAGCTGGCTTGAGATGCTTTATTAGGCAAAGAATGCTGACACACAGTAGCAGAATTTGATCTCCACTACACGCCTGAAGCTTTGTTATTGTAGACTTTCTGAAAATAATGGTTAACATTTACCTGAAGAGTTGTGCAAAGACAAAGATATAAGAATGTAATACCATTTTTTATTTTTCTTGTTACCGATGTCCTTTCATTGAAAGGAATTTTGCCAACATCTCAACTTAGAGAAGGTATCAGGAGCCTTGCAGAAAGAGCTTCTCAAGAGAGGCAAATCCAGTGATGCGAAGAATGATTGTTGTGTAAGTGAAATTTTAATTTATTTACACACGTGCATGGTATAGTTGCAGAGGCAATGTCTTCTTTCAAGAATTCCATGTCAAGGTTATTTCCTGCTTGCCAGGGGAAAACTGTCTCAAAAATTGATCGTAATTAGAGAGCTAAGTACAGAGTCAGTTTTACTGACTCCCTTACAAGTGCCCTTTGCCCTGAACCTGATAAGCAAAGCCTCATGTTCGTCCTCAAAAGGTGGAATCCTGCTAAGCTAATAGGTGCTTCAGACTGTTTATTGGAAGGTTTCTGTGAAATGTACTGATTTCTGATGGAGGAAGGCAGACTGGAAAATAAGAATAGATTAAAGCTTTAGTGTATCTACTGGAGGAAGACCTGGCTGTGCTGTTTAACATTTTATGTTTGACGTGGCTGAGATGTCAACTTGCTTTTGTTTATTTGCATAATCATTCATACAAATAATAATGTGTCAGCCACTCTTTGAGGAACTGTAACTGTGCCTTGCTGAATTTTGCACCTTGGTGAACAAAATGTATAACCTGAGGCAAGAAAGTTGTTTGTTTGGTTTGGTTTTTATTTGTCACTGTGAATTCTTCATAAATTCAATCCTACAGGATCTGTTATAGGAGGTAGTAGTTCTCCTAAAACATGAAAACTTTATAATGATAAAAAATACTGCCTGAAACTGCTACTGCAGAGTCCCGAGAAAAATGTGGTTGTTTTTCGGAAAGACTATTATAATAATAAAGATCATCATCAGTGTTCTGTGAGTCCAATCAAATGTTAAAAATCTGTGTAGTATTACGTTGACTTAAATTACTAAGGCTAGCTGGCATTCTTTACAAAATAAGTGAAGACTGATCTTTGGACACAAGCTGTGAGCTGTGTAAAATTGCCTCTGCTAAACATGTGCTGATTGGCATATGAATGAGATCTTGTTAATCTTCTGCTTAAATAAGTAGGTAGAGAGAAGCTGGGAACAAGTCCTCCTTTCTCCCTTTTAAGAAAAAGTACTTGCTATTGTAATAATTTATATTAGCAAATAAAATGCAAATATATATTTGCAGATAGAGCAAACAATTAGCAAGCATTATTTGGGAACAATATACCAAAATACATGTTCCTGCTTTACTCAAGTATTTCTGAGGATCCAAATTGAGAGAAGAGCACCCAAGTTGTACAAGTAAAGGTGTTGTAAGTAGTTTTGGCTTCCACAGGTTTCTTCTACTTAGATCTTCCAGCTTCTGACTCACTCATAAAAGACAAAAATTACATTGTATTAAACCCTGTTTAGAAACTTACACAGAATTATAACCACATGTAAGAGTGTCTATCAGTGGTACCTCAGACTGAGGACAAATCTTTTGCATCTTTAAGGGTGTTTCACTCTATAAGCAGATCATATTTATTATCTTTGAAATGGGAACTGATTTAGTCTCTCACAATAACACAGCATATGAAACAATCAGAACTTCAAAGCCTTTGTGTCTGTGCGTGTGCATTTTTATGTGTGTGGACATCAGCTGTAATGAGCTGAGCTTTTGATGTGCCTAGGGGATGGCAGGCTGACTTCCTGTGGGTTTGAGATAGGTCGATTTATTTCCCTTTGGGGCACTATTTTGCATAGGTTGGTGGTGGCCAACAAACTTGTTATCCTCAAGACCAATTCTGGTCTCTTCCTGCAAATGTTAAAGCAAATTTTGTAATATTCTGTTTGTAAGAATAGGAGAAAAGGCCTTATGGGAAGAACTTCAGCAGTTTGTTGGTCTTAAAACATTTTTTTTTTGAAAGTTGGCATGTCTCCTGCCATAAGGTTGAATATCCTTTTTTTAAATAGCTTCTTTCCACTATGAAAAAAATTGCAACACCCTGAAAAAAACTGCTAGAAGTAGGCTTCTAGGAAAAAAATATATGTATTGTTATATAATATACTGGGGAGATGTATACATGCATGAAGCTGTATATATTGTAAATGCACATATGTGCTTGCTATATATTTTAATTGCACTTCTGAATTAAACAGTAATAGGGGTTATCAAAGGGATAAGTCAGGTAAAACAAATTCTAGAGTATTTCATTAAGAATCTGTCACTTGAGAGTTGTAATTCAGTATTACAAGGATATTCTGCTTTTCTTCACAGTAAATGCAATTTAGCTAGCATAATGAAGAAATTGGTAGTACCTTACACTACTTATGCAATTTTTAGCACACCTAAGGCAAAGTTCATTAATCATGTCACAAAACTACCTTTCTAGAACTTCAAAGACAGCATATGTTATCAAAAATATTTAATATATGAACATAATGCTTTGTGTCTTATTAATACTGTGCTCAGTAAAAGAGAAAAAAACCCACATTTTAGACTACATATGTATCTATGTATTTACATCCAGTACTATGTTTTTATAATAGTAGGCATCAAAACCAATCATCCCCTCATGACAAATGCACTTCTCAAAGTAACTTCTTTTTCTTCCATTAAATAGACAAAATTGAGGCATGGCTCATTAACTGCAAAGCACACATCATTAAGTAATCTAGGTAGCCCTTCCTGCCAGCTTCATGCAAGCATTAGTAATGTTCAGACCCCTCACCTTGGCCTTCACTGCTGCCAAGAGATAAAACATTGCCAAGTATAATATTGAGCCTACGATAGTAAAATCTGTTTGCTTTTATTTATTTCTAGTCTATATCAAAAGAATAACACATGACTTTCATTTTCACTTAGAATCACATTCTCTTGTTACACCACCCTGTGCATTATCTGTCTAGTAGAGAAATTTGGAACTTTGAGAATAAATTTTATCCAATAATATATATTTCTTGTCAAAGTTTCTCACTCTGCAGGGCAGGTGAAGACTCTAATCACACTAGGGATCATTACAGAGACGTTAAACCCTTCTCTTCATTCCCAGTGTGTGAAAAGCAGACCAGCAGCTTTCACGCATGACAGGACATGCATGTAGTCCATTGTAACATACCACTTTTTTTTTTTTTTCTCGTACAGGCTCAATCTTATGAAAATGGGTTTATCTTTTACAAATTACTAGAATTTCATCCTTTTCTTCTTTGTAGGGAATACAAGAAGTATCTCCTATGCCTCTTAACAGTTTGCTTTAGAAATAGAATAAATTCTGGTGTCTATATTTTTTAATCCATCTGTTAAGATGTAGCTATTAACAGGGGAGAAATAATTTAAATTCT